CGGTCTGATACCTCCCTTTCAGGAACTAGATTCCTTTGCAAACTAGAATCATAGCATCTCCTCTGATGCCAAACCACACTGAGTCCTGGTCAATTAAAGAGCTTTGACAAGCTCATGGTTTAGGGCAGGGGGCGGAAATGAATGGGCCATGGCAACATTTCAGTAAAAGCCTTTGGAGGAAAAGGAAACAAGTGTTTTCAGATCATCCTTTCTTGATAATTGAATAGAAACCTAGCATTTGTCCCAACTATCAGTCAAAACTTTTTCATTGCAGGGAAAGCATCCAATAAACCTCTTTTGTTTCCATTTATTTCCATATCTTCAAAATGAAAATTCATCTGATGCCAACAACAGAATGTCACTCAGCAGAAGAACCCTTCCTGGCCCAGAGGGCATGCTTTGCCTTGGCTGTCTGAGAAGATGCAAAACCTAAACTCCACGGTGTTCAAGCCTGCATGCTCCATAAGAAAAGATGTTTCAGCGGATGAGAAATGTCTGGGGGGGGGGGGTAGGCTTTGTTTATCAATGAGTATTTATTGGATTTTCATACAACTGGGTCTCTGGTCTGAGCATAAATTCACTTTAGGCACAGAAGCATCTCTTTATGCTTAAATGTTTGAAGGGAGAGGAAAATGAGAGAGGAGGGGGCTGCTGATTGCTGGTGAATCTTGTAAACTGGAATTGTATTCTCAATTTGTTGTGGTAACCTGAGCTTTGTCCCTTAGAAACTGACAATCCTGTCCTTAATCAGTACTGAAAGCCACTTTCTGCTTATTATCCAGTAAGATTACCTTTCAAATGTTCTTTCCCAGGAAGAAAGACATGATAATAGCACCCAATTCAATATGCCCCAGGAGGGGGTGGGAGGTATTCAAGACAACTGGGTGCGGTTAGATCTAGTAACTTTACTGTGACATTTAAGAGTAAATTCAGGGATCAGAGGATTGGATGGTGAAAAGTCTGGGGAAAATCCCCTAACTATGTGGGATGGAGTATCCCAAGCTGAATTTTACAGATTCACTGAAAATCTCTTTAAGGTACCCATACAACTGTAAAATACAGAGATATATCTGTTCCTTTCCTTATTCTCAATATGTTGGCCTCACCCAACTTCAGTTAAGGAGAGGACATCTGCTGTGTACTCCTGAGCATTTTAGATACTCAATGTCCTTCACCCATAGCAGTTTTGATGGATCTAAGTATCAATTTTGAGAAAGATATGTGTCAACATACATGAGTAGTTACTGAGTGAAAAGCATTTCTTATATATACACCGACATATTACTCAGCCATGAGAAAGAAGGAAATCCTGCCATTTGGGACAACATGGATGGCCCTTGAGGACATTATGTTGAGTGAGAAAAGACAGAGAAAGACAAATATGGTATGATCTCACTTACATGTGGAATCTGGAAAAAAAAAAAAAAAAGCCAGACTCACCAGAACAGAGAGTAGGATGGTGGTTACCAGGGCCTGAGGATTGGGGGAAATCAGAGACATTGATCAAAGAATACAGACATATAATTTGAAGAGGAGTAAGTTTTGGAGATAACTCACAGCATGGTGATCACAAGCAAAGATACAAAGATACTGTATTATAGATTCCAAAGTTGCTAAGAGACCAGATCTTAAATGTTCTCACCACAAAAAAAGAAATGGTAACCATGGCATGTGACAGAGGTGTTAGTTAACACTCTGGTGCTAATCACACTGCAATATATAAATGTATCAAATCAACACACTGTACACCTTAAACTTATATAATGTTACATGTCAAATACATCTAAAAAAACCCACATTTCTTAGCTACACGCCAAACACATCTATCAGCTTTGAATTCAAGGCTTTCAGGTTAAAGCTCTCAAATTAATAAAACTAGAATAGGCATCAAATATTAAGTCAATTAGCAAAGGATCAAAGTCTCTTATCTATACTGAAAGGTAGACAGGATCCTGGCCTCTCAGGGCCTCTTAGGCCATTACTAAGAATTTGCTTATTTTTCCCAGTGAAAGCATTTAGGCAGAGGAATTCCAGGATCTGATTTGGGGTTTGAAAGATGACTTCAGTTGCTGGATTGAGGATGAATTCAAGGTGACAGAGTGGACTAGGGAACCGGTGGGGGCAGATGACATTTATGTTGTGAGAATGGATGATAGCTGAACATGTGACAGTACATACAGGTGCGCCCCCATGCACAAGCGCGCACACAGCTATCTGCCTGCCTGTGTATGGGGCCCCAAAAGCAGATGGCCGGCTCAGCCTGCCCTTGCAGTCGAATCAGACACATTCAGCTCACCCTCAGGCAGGAACTGTGTTAGGCCCTGCTTCTTGAGCTGTGTGTTGTCCGAGGAAGTGGAGCTCACCTGTCTGTCCCCGTCCAGACTCCGCAGGCACCAGCGCTAACCCCTATACATGCAGGGCAGGTTGTAGCTGAAATGCCCAGGAAATGGCTGGGAAGGTACCTCTTTTCCTTCTCTCAGTGCTTCAGAGGCTACATTGTTTCCATACAGTCTGAACTTGGCTTGTTCAGCTGCTGAGGGCTCCTCAGCCCCAATGTGGCCCTCTGGGCCCACATTGCCCTGGGATGCATCACACAGAAGGAACCAGTTCTGGCTTCATCTTCCCACTTCTGATAAAACGGGGAAGACCCAGCCCCTCCCCAGCGGCACGGAGCCAGAGGGAACCTGAGAACCCGGAAGGCACCGAACACGATGGGGAAAATGCTGTTGCAAGTTTTCGGTTCCCAATTTCAATTCACCCGCTTTACAGAATGAAGGCAATTTTCATTTTCCTGAGTATGAGCTGCCTTCCGGAGGTGAAAGGATCAGGTGGCTTGATTCATCATCCTCGTCCTCATCATCATCATCATTGTCATCATCATCATCATCGGGAGAAATGGGTGTTTTTGTGTCCCCCCGTTCTGTGGGAAATGCTTTGAAACACTTGACAAAGAACTGTGGTGTCGCTGGCCATCGGTCCAGGCCCTGGGATCAGGCAGCAGGGGCCGCTTGCGCTAGCCTTCCCAGGCCGTCCCTTGAACTTCCTGTTTGGCATCTTTGCCTGATGCCTGTTATGCTCCCATGGCCCGAGGAGCTCCCGCTTGGCTTCTTCACTCAAGGCTTCAGTGTTTGCCTGTTTTTCTTGTTAAGTCTCTGGGCTCAACATTACCAAGATTCTGGATGTAAAACCTCAAATGTAATGCCGAACTTGAACTGTGCAGCTCACTCAGAGGAGTCACCCCTGGACATAAGCAGTTCATCGGTAGTAGTGGGGCGGTAACAAGACTGGTAACCTAAGCTTTGGTGCTTCCTAGGGCTAACCTTGATTTTGGACATAGTTTTTTCAAGTTGTATCTTCATGCTTCAGAAGCTTCAACAGTGGGAGGAAGTCGCAGTTCTGAGAAGCAGCCTCCCGTGAGGATCGAGACTTGGGGAGCCTGGTGGCTGCTCATCTTTCCTCTTCCAGGCCAGAGTTCAAGTGTGCTGAGGTACTGATGTCCTTGGCCCTGGGGCGGCCACCGCTGGCCCTGAGCTGCCCTCGGGTGGTGCACAGACATTTGCACTTTCTGTGTGTGGCCTGCCATGAAGATGGTTTGCACGCGTGGTTCCAGGCCATGTAGACCTGGATCCCGCCCCCTCCAGGCGAGGCCCTCTCTAAGCTGGATTTCTCAGGGCTGCCAGCTTTCAGTTGCTTCTGACATCTGCCTGGACCCTTCCACACCTGGAGAGCTGCAGCTGCTACGTGCATCGCTCTGTGTTCTGCGGTCCCTCTCCAAGAGCAGGTGCGGGGCAAAACGCTCCGGCCTCATGACTACTCTTAGGATGCCTGCCCTAGGCACTCCTCAGATGTTTAGAAAGGTATCCCGGGCATATGCTTCTAGTGCCAGCAAGCAAGCCTGCCTGGCCAGAAGCACAGAGAATATTCCATGAAAGAGGAAGCATCCCTTTTCCTGGCTTCTTGCCATACCCGTGAGGGAACTGGGTCAGCTAAACTGTCTCGCACTTGCTGCTGACTCTCTTTGTCAGTGTCCCAAGGATAAGTGACAAGGGTCTTTTATCTGGGCAGCATTTTACAGCACATTGTGGCTTTGATTATTACCACCTCATGCCCCGCAAAGAACTAATCAATTTGTTTGCTTTAAATGTTGTTTTTTTTTTTTTTTTATGCTTTGCGTAAAAAAGAATCCAACTTTGGAATTGGGATAAATCTAGTTCATGAAGGAGCACTACATTTTAGGGTGAAATGAGGGAGTCCTGGGGGTTAAGGGACTCGCCTGAAGCACCTGTTGCATCTGCTGCTCCCCAAAGGGTTTCCTGCCTGTGGCCCCCACACAAGCTTGGTGCAGACGTCTCCAGGCAGGATCTGATTGCAAGCTCTACATTGTGAGTTCAGACACAGGTGTTGGATCAATGCTCCCATTGCACTTAAATGTCTTTCCTTTCAAAGTTTTAAGAGAGGGTGTATTAAAGAATGTGGCGTCTTTGTGCACACATCTCTGGTGGTGGGGGATGATGGGTTAAAAATTAATTGGAAAAACAATTAATAGAGAGTGAAGTAGGGAGACCCCGGGGATGGTAAATAGATTCTATGCCCGACGATGTGCCTCACAGACAAACTACTGGATCTTCCTTCATCAACCTCCCTGCCTCTCCTTTCCCATCATAACAAGTGGTCCCTGTTTACCCACCTGATATTGTATAAGACTCTCAACCCTCCCAGGAACCCTATGAGATGGAAATTATTATTCCCATCTCACAGATGAGGAAACTGAGGCTCCCCGAAGTTAAGTAGCTTGCCCCAAATCACATAGCTTGGTGGGTGGTGGAATTCTATTTATTGGATTCCAAGGGTACATATACTCTTTCCACTTCAAGTTGGTGAACACATCATTTTGCATCTCAGGGCCCCTATTAAGTCATGTGATTAAGAACGGTCCCACCCCATGGTCGCTCTGCTTTATACAGAGAACCAGTGTAGGCAAGATCAACCCCTTGGTCTACCTGCAGAACTCTCCTTCAGATTCTGGCAGCAGGAGGGAGGCCATGGGGTTCTTCATCAGATCGGCCACTGCAGGGTCCTTGGCTGTCACATAGAAGAAAGGAATCCCAGTGCTGTTGTTCAACGGGCCGTCGCTGATGGGCAGGCAGTTCCCAAACGGCAGTCCTGGGATCTAACAAACACCGAAAAAGGCTTTTTCAATGTAGGGTTTTGGACTGACCTGAGCGGGGAGCTTAGCCAAGAAATATAGCAACGAGGATGTCACGGCATCACCATGGCTTCGACAGGTAGTAAATTAAGGCGCAGTGGTTTCCAATCGACCCGACTGACCCAGTGATTGCTCCAGAATCTCTATCGAGGAGCTGAGCAGGGACATTCAGTTTGGCAGGATGGCTAAGGGATTATTCTTGAAGCTGCTGCATGCACATAGAAAACACGCTCAGTTTATTACATTTGAAGTTATCTGGAGGCGGCACTGAAATTTATGGAAGTGCGCTAACCACAACCTGCCCCTTCGAGCCCTACTGCCTTCACTGACTCTCCTCAAGTTCTGAAAATTTCGGGGATAGATCTTAAGTTTAATATCTTACCTGGTCTTTGGACTCCAAGAACCTTGTTTTATTGTTTCTTTTAGAGCCACACCACTTTCTCACTAATTAGTTCCATTTTTTAAATTGTAATCAATTTTTCATTATATGATTCAGCAATTCACGCTTTTAGCAAAAAGGAAATCACAGAAACACACTACATCCACTTTTAGTCGTGATCATCCAGTGGAGTAGGTGAAATTCTTAGGCATGTATGCAAGTATTCCTTAGGTTTTCCCAGGACCTGCTGGGTCCGGCATTCCAATCTTCATGAGCCTTATTTACCCTTTATGGAATGGTCCTGAGCTCAGGACCCAGGAACTGTCTTGTCTTTAAAGCACTGCATGGCAATGGTGTATAGATCTGGAATAAGAGACGGCTTTTGCCATTTGAGAAGACATAATGTTAAGGTGTCTTTCAAAACGGTAATGTAAGTTCATTTACAGATTTGGTTTCTCAGCTTGTCATAAACTGCCTGGAATCACGCTTTGCACACATAACATGCACAGGGTAAATGCACTCTGAATGGAGTGAATTTGGACTCAATGTCAACATTGGAAAGGGGAATTCCTAACAATGCTATGAAAAGAGATATCGAAAGTCAAAATATCTTCTGTATGTTGGCACTAGACTTCTAATTGCTTGAAACAATCTGTGTTTTTTAAAACATTTACTCTGTCTACATCCTTATTTTTTTAAGTTTATTTATTTAAGTAATCTCTACACCCAATGTGGGACTCGAACTCACAACCCCGAGGTTGAGAGAGACACACGCTCTTCCCACGGAGCCAGCCACGCACCCCAGAACAGTCTGTGTTTAGAGCAAGATCAGCCTCATTATTTAAGCTTCATGTTGTCTTAAGGTGTGTCTTGGGAGCATAATACATAACTGTGAGGAGCCACTTGGATGCTGTGAACGTGATTAAGATCATTGCCATAATCAGAATAAGGTCATTCAACTGTTTTTAAAAACTAAAACAGGACCTTCAAAACAAACATAGTAACATAGTCAACCACTTAATTTCATAGAGGCAGAAAACAAAGTGGACAGCTCAGTGACTCGGCTAGTCTCCAAACAGATGAGCCCACACCTGAGGTAAGAACCTGCCGCTGGCCAATGACCTACACATTCCCTAAAAAAAATTTTTTTGCATAAATTAAACAGGAGTTCAAATCACCTACGTGTAATAAAAACATCCATCTACCAGCCCTAAAAGCTTTCCGGATGGTGTACACTTAGGGATGTCACTTCCTCATCATTTATCCATGTCATTTGGGCTTAAGGTGGAATCATACCTAACAGGTGAGTACATTTGTGAACTGAATGATAAAACTGCAGCAGAAAACAGCTCATTCCAGCATTTATACACTTCGCACCCTAAGCTGCTTTTCCAGAAAAACTCTTAAGTTCCATATTTCAAAATGTGGATTTCCACCAAACCCCTCGCGGTGTCTCTCCCCTCCCCCCCTCACAACCCCTACCCCCCCCCCCCCAGGTCCCTACTGTCAGTAGGCGACCGGGAAGTTCGGGTCTACGGGGTGCTGCGTGCGGGCAGGGAGGCTGCGCGCGTCTACACCATGAAGCCGAAGGCGGCTCTGGCTTCTTTTGTCCAGGTCTCGGGGCAGGCGCTGGTTATGCGCGCCCCTCTTTGACCATCTCAAGACTGCACTTCAATCCCCACGCGCTTGGCAGGATGCCCGACTGTCAGCACCTGCCGAGCCCCCCATTTTGCCAGGTTAACCAAAGCACAACCTGGTTGCGTTATTTACGCGCCGGCCGCAGCGCAACCCAGCCCACCGGGCACGTCGGTGCGCCCTGGATCCGAGCGCGCGAGCGGTGGCGCGCTCCTCGCCGCCCCCAGGCCACCGCCAGGCACGCCCCTGCAGCGGGCTCCGGGCGGCGCGGCTTACCTTCTCGTGGGCGGACACGGTGGCCAGACAGCCCCAGGCGCTGGCGTGGGCCAGGAAGCGGGCGGTGCTGGGGCGCAGTCTCGGGCCGCTCTCGCGCCGGTAGGAGAACATCCCGGGCGGCGCGGGGGGCGGCCTGGCGCGGGCGGCGCCGGCGGGGGGCGGCAGGTGCGCGTCCTCCTTGTGAGCGGAGGCGGGGAAGCTGCGCTGCCAGATGCTGCCCGAGTCCTCCAGCAGCGCGGGCAGCGCCTCCTCGGTGGAGGCGCTGTCCAGCTCCTCGTCCACCTCGTTGGTGACGGCCCAAGACACCGAGCTCACGATCACGTAGCCCGCGGCCGGGGAGAGCAGGGCGCTGCAGCACAGCAGCCAGGAGAGGCGGGGGACCGGCCGCGCGGGCCTCTGGCCGCGGCGCACGGACATCTTGCAGCGGCGCGCCCTGCCGCGGGGACGGCCTGGAGCGCGCGGGCGGCGGCGAGGGCGGCAGCGCCCCCGTGCGGCGGGCGCGCGGAACTGGACTCGGCTCGCGACCGCCGCAGGATTCCCGGGCGGGGGCTGCACCCCTGGACGCCCTCGCAGCCTCGTGCTCCTTTGAGAAGTCGAGCTCCTGGACAAGCGGGCTCCGCTCGAACGCTGCGCGACCCGCGCACCGTGTGCGAGGTCCGGGGACGGGCTCGTTTCCTGCTGGATGGCACGGATTCTACAGTCAGAGGGGGTGGACGTTCAAATCGCGCATCAACACTCTCGCCTACCTACCAGCTGTGTGACCCTGCCAGGTCACTTAACCTCTCTGTGCCTCCGTTCCATTTTTACAAAAACAAGCAAACCAATGTATTGAACTCAATGGAGTGATGGATGGGAGGATTAAATAAGTTAACATCTGAAGATGTTTATGTTTTGATAATAGACAAAGGTAGGGACTGTTATCATTTTATAGAGGAGGAGGCTAAGTAAATGGTGAAGGTAAGATTACCACCGAATCGGTCTGATGCCAAAGCCCATTCCCTTGCTTTGTAAGGACAATGACCGTCTTACACTTTACTTAGGAGTGCGTTGCTGTAAGTTCATCTGAAAGCAAAGTCAAATTTTTACATATCAACTAAAGTAAAAGGTAGCAAACACGCAGAGACAAAGTGGCTGGGATGCAATAGCAGAAAATTGTATGAATGTACCACAGTTTCATTTTATTTATTTATTTTTTAAATTTATTTCTAGGAGAGAGAGAGAGAGAGACAGCGTGAGCAGGGGAGGGTCAGAGAGAGAGGGAATCACAGACTCTGAAACAGGCTCCAGGCTCTGAGCTGGCAGTCAGCACAGAGCCCGACGCGGGGCTCGAACCCACGAACCGCGAGATCATGACCTAAGCGAAAGTCGGACGCTTAACCGACTAAGCCACCCAGGCGCCCCATTTTATTTTATTTTATTTTATTTTATTTTATTTTATTTTATTTTAAATGTACCACAGTTTCAAAACATTCTTTTATTGGTGGAAATTTGAGCTGTTTTCAATAGTAAAATTTTATAGATATCAACATAATTCTAAAACCATTTACACTTTTTAAACCTCTGCTTATGGTATTTCCTTATCTGCCTGTTAAGAGACATATTATGCTCTAGATTCTCGACTTAAAATCTAATAGTCCTGCTTCGGATTTGTTATGGATGAAAGTAACTTGAACTAGCATCAAAATTTTTGTGGATATTTTGGTAAATGTTGCATTGTGCAGTTGCCAGAGGATCCGTTGTCTACCCTGTCCTCCATTCCATCCACCTCCTCCTTTTCCCTCCTATTCAAAGCCATTTTTCCTTAAAAAGTCTACTTAATCTCAGTGCACTCCAGACTGGCCTCCCATCCCACTCCAGCAGCCTTTTCAGGATGCCCTCTTTCTATTGCTAGTCTAGGGGGAGTTCTGGTATTGTCTCTGAGTGATCTGTCTCCTCCCACGGCTCTGCCATCCTTTCATACTGCTGACTTGCCAGCCTCTCTCACTTGCCCCCAGAATGATGTGTCCCCCAGTCTTGGAGAGGCAGTACAGCAAGTCATTAAAAGACGGGGGCTCTTTCAAATGACTTCAAATGAATAGACACCCTGCTCTATCACCTACTAGCTGTGTCTGTAAAATAAGGACAGTCGCATCTATCCCAGTGGCCTAGGAGAAGCTCAGAGCAGACACGCCAGAGATGCAGAGATGCATAGCGCAGCCTCTTTTCTATCACATGCTCCGGAGGGAGGGGGGAGAAGGGGAAGACGGGGCAAGCCTGGCGGCTGACTCCTTGCACCCAGGCTCTTGTTCTTGGCTGTTAGGGGCCACTTTTTCCTTTGAGGCTCTGGTGGAGGTGGATATTTTCCTTTGCCAGTCCCAGCACATGATATGAAGAATAAATGGCCAGTTCTTACTGTTCGCTGCCAGCAGGATAAAGCCCAAGCTCCTTAACTCAATATACAGGTCCCTTGTAACCTGTCCCTGCCTGCTTGTCTATCTCTGTCTGTCCCACTGCATCACCCTCCCAGACTCCGCTGCAGCAATACTGGCCTCTTTATGGTACTACGGTCAGTGAACAGCATCACATGCACCAGATAGGTAATAAAATTAGCATTTTGATTTATTTTCATCCTTGCTTTTTATCCCTCTGTTCATTCTTCAAGCAACATGATAATAAGTTATATTTTGATTGATAGGACGTATGCAACAAATGCACAAGAATATATATACAGGTTAAAGAATCGCTAAAAAAAAAACCAACCCTGTTAAAATCATTCAGGTGAAGTGAGGGAATAGCCAGTTCCCCAGAAGTTCTCCATATTCCTCTCTACCCAAATCACAACCCCCTGCCTCCTCTCCTAGAGGTAATTACTATCTTGACATTTGTGATACACATTTCTCTGCTTTTCTTTATAGTTGGGCTTCCTACATATGCAATCTTCAGTGTTATAGATTCATCTTACTTATTTTCAACTTTAAATAAATGAAATCATACTTTATTTTTTGTGTCCTTCTACGTTCAGTCAAAATTGTTTGTGAGAATCATCCTTATTTTGTTGTTTGTAGATACATATGGCTGTATTGTATTACATTGTGTAGCTATATGACAATTTATTCAACTATTGTTAGTGGGTGTTTTATTTTTTATTTTTATTTGTTTATCTTGTTGTTTATTTATTTTGAGAGAGGTGGGGAAGGGGCAGAGAGAGGGAGACAGAGGACCTGAAGCAAGCTCTGCACTGGGAGTACAGAGCCCAATGTGGGGCTTGAACTCACGAACCGTGAGACCATGACCTGAGCTGAAGTCGGATGCTCAACTGACTGAACCAGCCAGGTGCCTCGTCAGTAGGTGTTTTAATAGGTTTTATTATTCAGGTATTGTGAGGCCAGGTGATCAGGAGATGCCTGCCATTGAAAAGGTGCAGCCACTCTGGAAGACAGTACGGAGTTTCCTCAAAAAATTAAAAACAGAACTACCCTATAACCCAGCAATTGGATTACTAGGTATTTATCCAAGGGATACAGGTACACTGTTTCGAAGGGACACATGCAACCCAATATTTATAGCAGCACTATCAACAATAGACAAAGTATGGAAAGAGCCCTAATGTCCACTGATGGGTAAATGGATAAAGAAGATGTGGTATATATATACAATGGAGTATTACGTGGCAATTAAAAAGAATAATCTTGCCATTTCCAACTACGTGAACGGAACTAGAGGGTATTATGCTAAGCATAACTAGTCAGTCAGAGAAAGACAAATATCATATCACTTCACTCATATGAGGACTTTAAGGTACAAGACAGATGAACATAAGAGAAGGGAAGAAAAAATAATTTAAAAATAGGGAGAGGGACAAAACATCAGAGACTCTTAAATATAGAGAACAAACGGAGGGTTACTGGAGGGGTTGTAGGAGGGAGGATGGGCTAAATGGGTAAGGGGCTTAAGGGATCTACTCCTGAAATCATGGTTGCACCATGTGCTAACTAACTTGGATGTAAATTATAACAAATAAATAAAGTAAAAAAAACAAAGAAAAAAAAGAAAAGGTAATTTATTCCACTTGTAGGTCCCAAGAAAAGGGATCTTTGACCATGGGGACAGGAGTCAAAGGATAAGTACTCTCCATTTCCAGGTCACGGGTGGGCAATTCACTTTACACCCTTCCTCAAAGGGTACCCAGCAGCATTGAGCCCTGGTTGCTCACAGTGGTAACAGCTCAGTGACAAAGCCTTAGAATGGCTTTCCTTCCTCCCCGGTCCATTCATTCTAGTCTCCCACTCTAGTCTTACTTTAGGACTACATCCCAAAGTAAATTACCTGTGTGGCAAGTCCTTGTCTCAGGCCCTTTGGAGGAACCCAAGCTAAGGCACTGGTGCACATTCAAGAGTATATACCTTGTAGTAAGTAGGGTTGCTGGTTGTGGGGTAGAAGTATGTTTCATTTTATTGTATAATGTCAAACTGATTTCCAAAATGATGGTACCAACTTACATTGCTGCTATCAATGTATGAGCATTCCTAAAGCTCCACATTCTCATCAACACAGATTATGGTTAGATTTTTGGTTTTTTATCTTCCCCTACCCCCAGTCTGGTGGATGAGTAATGGTGTCTTTTTATTTTAATGACTAATGTGGTTGCTTGATCACCTTTTCATACTTTTATTGGCCACTTGGATAATCCTCTTTTGCGAAATGTCTGTTAATGTCTTTTGCTGATTTTTATTGGGTTGCCTGTGGGAGTTTTGTATTGATTTGTAAGAATTAATTTTATTTTCTGTATTCCAGTGCTTTGGTATTGAAAAGTGCTGCAGATTGCTTTTGGGTAGTTGTTAATGCTAATGTTTTTTATGTATCAACTTGACTGGGCTAAGGGATGCCCAGATGGCTGGTAAAATATCATTTCTGGGTGTGTCTGTGGGGGTGTTTCGGGAAGAGATTAGCGCTTGAATCAGTAGATGAAGAAAGAAGATTAGTCTCATCAACAGGGATGGCATCACCCAGTCCTTGAGGGTCTGAATAGAGCTGAGACATCCACCTTTCTCTTGGCATTGGACATCAGCACTCTTGGTTCTCGAGTTTTCAGATTCAGGCTGGGCCTTTACTCCATTGGCACCCCTGGTGCACAGAACTTTGGGTTTAGTGGGTGGCTATCCCACTGGCTTTCCTGGGCCTGCAATTGCAGATGGCAAATCATGGGACTTCTGTTTCCATAATCACATGAGCTAATCCATGTTGTTCTGTGTATCAGTAGTGTTTTTCCTTTTTATTGGTAATATTCCCTTGTATGGATATACCATATTTGTTTATTCATTCAACAGTTGATGGTTACTTGGGTTGTTTCCTTTTATTTATTTATTTATTTATTTAGCTATTAGGAATAAAACTATTAATAACATTCACATACAAGTCTATGTGGGGACACATGTTTT